TGTCGCTGAATCAAACATAAACTCGTACGCTCTCTATATGTGTTGTTTTCTATTCCTACCTCGATAAGTACGGCAACCGTTGTTTTCTTTTGTACAGACAATATAATTGGATTGATTAAGATATGCAGCATTTTTATTGACCAGTATTTATGTGCTTCTCACCCACATAGCGTATTGTCTGATTTTATTATTGTTTTTTGTATTGTTTTGCCTTCCACCCGTGAGTTTATTCGCACAGATGTGTTTTGTTTACCCTGCGTGGTTTTTATTTTTTGCGCCAGTTTTTGGGTCTGACTTAATTTGTTTTCTTAAAATCTTTTGTTATGTTTTTTGTGGTGCATATTGTCGTTTTTGGATATTGAGAGGTTTGAGGTGAGTGTTTCTTTATGTTAGTGTGGGTGTTTTTATTTTTCCGCGTTTTTATGGTTTTGTCTATCTTCAACTTCCGGTTATTGTTTTATTTTGTGTTCGTGAATGTGCCAATGTTCCGTTATTGTCATTTTAGTAGTTGTGTGTTTGGGTTTTTGTATTTTTTCCGTGAGACAGGCTACTTTGTAACAATGTGCTATTTAGGAAAGTTCTTTATTAGAGTTTTTATAATTTTGTGATGATTGTAATTTGTTCTGTTTTTGTGTGGGGGGTTTTGACCCTTGTCCTTAAGAACTTTATTGGGTTGAGATTTGTAGGGTATTGATTTACAGTTGTCTCCTCTTCCTTCTTTCTCGAGTGTTTGTTCGATTATGTTCGTGTCGATAGACTCGTATCCACTTTCAATCAGAGCTCACGTTGAAGCTTGTCATAATTGAAGATTAGCGTCTTATGCTCGCTCCCCGGCTGGTGGCGTCATCAGAATGATGTGGAAGGTATATTAGACAGTTTGGTTTCGTCTGCTTTGAACAAGTGGAAGCTCAGCTACATAAGGTAACTTGCGAAATCCACGGGATATTGAAAGGAATAAGGAGAAAATCGTTCTTGCCTGGTTTTCCATGGGTCCGACAACATGGACTGCTTCGTTACCATTTTTTGTCCCTGACGGATAATCCTTTTGCCAGTTTGAGTGGTTCGGCGCCGCATGTGGAGTTTTTAATCTTATCCGGTGTAATTTGGCGCGACTGCATGTGTAAAGAGTCTAGATGGTACTCTGGTTATAACAAGTTTTAGTGGCCGTAGTCGTTTTTTGTGAGCAGTTGAGAAATGCGTTATATAGTATATATGCGTTAAAGGATAGGTGGGAGGATGTAGCGGTATAGGATCAATGTTGAGCGTTAAGAGGACACTGCGAAGTTTCTATTTACTGTGTATTTTGGGGTAATTTTGTTTTCTAACCAAATGCGTGTTTAGTATTCTTTGTGTTGTGTAATATGGAATCTAATTACGGTATATATACTCAATAGGAGGTGTATGCGCTGTGCTGGACGGATATATCACTCTCTGTCAGTCTTTATTTGTTGAGCGGCATGTTTGTGAGTTAACGCGTTACTGTTAAGAAAAAATTGAATAAACATGCGAGTATGGTATCAGTTGTTTTGAGTTGAACTTTTTGTCAGCGTGTGTATTATTGGCTTGGTACTTGTAGCGTGGGTTTTGCGGTCTTTTTGGTATTTTGTTTGAAACCGACGCCGTAGCGGAGCACTTCAATGATAATTGACATTATATGTAGAAAAATAACATAAAGTGTTTTGTCGTGAATCACCCGAAACTTGGTTTACGCCCATCACGACATTTTTCCGGACGCCTCATGGCATGCCATATTTCCAGCCCTTTTGTTCCGACCGTGGTATGTCTATAGCAAGTTTATGCAGGAGCGAGTATTTTTGTTTGGTATTATTCGATAAAATTCCTGAAGTAATTTTGGTCCTTAAAATGTATTATTGAGATGGTTTATTGCTTAGCAATAATTCACATTGTTCCTCGAGCAATCTAAGTGCTTTAAGTTTGGCCAGAGACTGCTTGAGAAGCTAGCATGGCTTCAACATCGCCATGTGTATTTTATTTTTTACAATCACACATGTTTTTATTTTTATTTTTATTATTAGATCATGTATGTATGGATCTTTTACCTGTCCTTTTGTGTTTGTTCTTTGTTTTTTTGTGCTTTGAGGATGGATAACTGTCTGATGGGTGACCTGAGACAATGAGACGTGGTGATAGCTTGGAGTCAGGAAGGAAGTAGTGTGAGATTGAAACGCGTGGACAGTAGCCGTGTTACTCCTCCTGGTTCTCATTTGCTGAGTTGTTGGGGGGCGGGCAGCCACAGTGTGTGGTCTCCCAAAGTACGGGGTATGGGGGTGGTTAGTGAGGTGTGGCGGTCTCTAGGGGGTTATTTCGTCTGAGCTGAGCGTTGTAAGTTTAATTAAGCTTGCTACTTTGTTGCTGTGCGTCTGTGCGGTCTTGTTCTGCGCTCGTCGTCGTGCCGGGTCGCGTCGGTCTCCTGGTCGGGGTCTTTCCTCGGTCGTTCTCCTTTTCTTTTTCTTTCTTTCCTGGTGTCCGACGCTTATAACTGGTGTCATTGGATGGGGTGAGTGTGTTTGAGCATGATGATCCGGTTGTTGTGTGGTACCCACTAATGTAATTCTAGAGGTGTTCATGATCCGAGGTGTTGTCGGTGCCCGTTTAAAAGTCAGGTTTTTCCTTGATCACGTCTACCTAGTGCTGGATGTGTTCATGGTGGTGATCTTGTTTGGGTTCGTCGTGTAAATTGTTATATAGTTTGATGTTTTGGCTAGGACTCGTGGCGCTATGTGTGAAAAGTGGTTCCCTTGAGATGAACTTGTATCCGTTAGGAGACTGGCGCTAACAAATAACATGGGAGTGAATTGAATTTGTATCTTATTCTTTAGATATATGAGCTAAATTATATATCCATAGCTATTAGGATTTTTATGATATAATTGTTCTAATGTTTTGATTTAACCACAGTGTATGTTTTTTTTTAGAGTTGCATATCTATTGTATAGATTCCCTTTGGGTGATAGAAGGGTGCCTGGCAAATAAGAATGAGTAAAATAGTGGTGTCAATTTTGTTTTTTGCACTTTGTGGAGTCAGTGAATTCTAGTTGATATATGTTGTGTCGGTACTAGTACTGAGTGTGAAGGTTTACTCTCGAGGTGTCCTTTTTTCTCATACGATTCTATCACGTGCTGGCTTTTGTTTTATTTATTCGCATGGATTTTTTTTTTTTTTGTCATTTAGCTTTTTTTGCATCTAGGTTGCTGCTCCTGCGTTGGGAGAGGTGTGCCTTTTTACTTTTGGGTTTGGTGCTTCCTTCTTTATACAGTGTTTTGGTTTGTTGTTGTAATTTTGAGGGAGAGATTGTCGCCATATTTGCAGTATAATATAGTGATGAATTGTTGATACTGCTGTCAACTAGTGCTATTGCTACTGCTTACCTCTCCAGTCTCTCCAAAACATCTTTAAAGTTCCACATTGGACTCGATACCTTGCAGAATAAAAGAACCATAAAGCTGCAAGTAGGATAGTCTTGTGAACATACACAAAGCACCTATACCTTCCCACCAAACCCACAGCAGAGCAGAAGGAGTTTGTTGTCCTGCAACATTCTAATGCGTCACAGGGTGCTTCTCTAAG